TCTTCCTTGCTCTCCCACTGACCCAGGCCATGAGCTTGGTCTTTCTCTGTCTCCATCCCATCCTGCCCATGGCAGACAGGACCATAAGGTCCCCCTCCGCACCGAGGCTTTCCCTGTGCTGCATGGCAATGGGCAAAAAGCAATGGTGATCCTGCTCAGGGAACCTCAAGGTAAATAACAACGATGATTATGGTGGAAGCAGCAGGGCTCGCCCATTTAATTGTATATAAAATTAGATGTTAGACCTGGTATAGATGCCTGCATTTTGTAATAAGGATAGAAACTAATCAGTTTAAAGATGAGCACAGTTCTTAAAGCATGGTTGGATCCCATTTACTCCATTGAAAAGAACGGGTGGATGGTTCGTGTTGTAAAATGGTTTTATAAAATGTAGAGAACTGTACAATGACGTGTTTTATTTGCCTCCTGTGGTTTAGATTCATATTTTGCTTTAACATAAGTTAAACAAAATTAAGACTATGATTATGCTAAGAGAATGCAGCCAGTAAAGATAGAAAACATTGAACTCCTTGAAGTCATAAAGAATTATCAACTGTGCAATTAGTAAAGACTGAACATATACATTGAAGTCTATTAAGTCATAAATGAATGAGAAGAATGTTGTTCTTGACAATTTGATGTGTATATTTGTCTTAATTAATTTAAATTAATTGCTATTGGCTACAGTCATTAGAAAATCTACGATTTAAGTTAGGTACAGCATAAACCCCCTCCTGTAAAATGAATCTAGTTAGATAGCCAAACCATTGTTTCAATTCTTTAGGCTACTGAAAAGAAAGAGGTAAGAAGGGTTGATGAGCAGAATGCTGGGGATGGTTCTGACCTCCTCACAGCCTCTCTCCTGCAATACTGCCCGAGGCTTGAGTGCCCTGAAGCCACTCTGCTGCTGGCAGGCAGCACAGATTACCCAAGCAGCCCTCTCTCCCACCAGATCCAGCAGCATCAGAGCTCACAGATGTCCCCTGTTCAGGCATCACTGGACATTTTCCTCCCCAGACCAGGCTGGCTGCGCACAGCCCCACAGCAGGGCAGCATGCCATCAGCCCACGAACCACCAGCAGCAGGCTGTGAGAGAACACTGCTGCTTGTTGTCAGGCACTGTACAGTCTTCTTGGGGTGGTTTCAAGATGATACAACTAGTGAAGGGCAGGGACTGAAGGAGACAGCAGGTATTGTCCAAAACCAAGCATTTCAGAAAACCCAACGTGTTTTTTCTTGATGTTTTGTAAGTTAAAATTTTCCATTTCCTGTCCTGAAATGTGATTTGGAGATCACTTGTAGTCACATTGCATGTCCTTTTCCCAATAGTTAAACCCGTAAGACAGACATCAGAAGAGGTGTTCTTTTCCCCAGGTTTCTATTTTGCTAACAGGAAAAGAAAAAAGGAAACCTGTATTTTAGGGGAGTTTCTTTCAAATCTCAGATGAAAAAGCAGTTATTTGCCCAGTTCTAATTCAGGATTCACAGTCAGGATTAGTGTGCCCCAATGGCCTTACCAAGACGATGACAGGGACAATTGGAAAGTGGGTTAGCAGAGAAACTCTCACCAGGGAAATGAAACAGTACAGGAAAATCCCCATTCTATGTTCTGCAGCTGCACAGGAGGAGGTACGTTCCTCCAGGACTCTGAGCTCCATCACTAATATTATTATTAAATATTTACATACCACCCTAAGTTTTCATGACACTTAACAGAGATAAAAGATGCTCTCTTTGCACTGAAGATCTTACAGCCTACATCACACAAAGAAAGCAAAGCTAGCAGAAAGAAGACATGATGAAGATTAGGAAATGGATCTAATGTTGGTGACCGAAAAGCATTTTTTAATTGTAACAGAGCATGGGACTAGGGCTGAGGAAAGCTAGCAGCATCACGGCCCATTTCGCTTTTAGTAACCAGCCAACCACCTTCCAAACTCACTCATGTGGACCTATTTCCCCGCAGCTTTAACCCAAATAAATAATGGCATCCTGTAACCTCTAGAAAAATACTTTTTTACCTGACTTGTCTGAGAAAAGAGAAGTTGGCCTGCAGCAGTTCAGCAGGGCATTTTCCCAGGCTGCAATAGCTGGAGAAAGGCCAATACACTGCACCACAGCTGGAAACGGAAATGAAGGTTGCTCTGTCCATCAGCCTCGCTTCCCTCCATTTTGCTTAGCTCCCTCATTTGATTTTCATTTCTGACGGTGCTATTAGAGAGCCACGATGAATTCAGCCTTCCCTGCCAGACACACACCCACAGCTGGGGCAGCTCTGGCCTTCAGCTGTGGGGTGAAGCACCACAGCCTTAGGAAAACAAAGCAGCAAAAATGGAGAAATGGAGATACCCAGCACAACTCTATCCGCTTGGGCATGGGGCAGGCTCCTATCTGCAAAGTACAGGGAATACACCTCTGCATGAATGATGCTAACACCCCACCCCACCCCACCCCCCCTTGTGAGGGATAACACCCCTGTTATAAAGACTGTGAAATAATTTCATGTATCTTAATGCAGACCTCGTTAACATCTTGGGTAGTCAAGCCCAATGTTAAGCCGCTGTAGCAGAACAGCCTTCTTCTGAATATGGAGGGAGCCTGCTGCAGCGCCACAGGGCCCACACCCAAAACCCCCAGGGGTGGGGTGGGACTGTGAATGTGGCAGCAACAAGGGCAAGGCTATCAAGGCTTGGGGACAGCAAGAGGCAGATGTAGAGGGGAGATGCCAGTGCCTCTACCAGAGGTGCTCTGGGCCCCTCAGCTCAGGGAGCAGAGACCCCTTTTGGGTCCCCACTGACCACCTATTATTGTCCTTCACAAACCCAGTGATCAAGGAAAAGAATATTTCTTCTTTTAAAATTTTTAAAACTAATCCTAACCTAATCAATGATGATGAGACTTATCCCCATGCTTCCTGGAAGAAATACATCTATTGATGGACCTGAGCATCATGCAGAGAGAAACACCAGCATTCATCATATAACCTGAGACAACAATGGGCAGGATGCACAGGGCATATGATGTGTAGTCTAAGGCATATAGCAATATACAGATCTGCAGACATGTGCATGCACGCACGAACACATATGAGTACATTTTACAGGGGTACGTAGTGATAGGACAAGGTGGAATGATTTTAGACTGGAAGAGGGTAGATTTAGATTAGACATTAGGAAGAAGTTCTTCACTATTGAGTGTGGTGAGACTCTGGCACAGGTTGCATAGAGAGGCTGTGGCTTCCCCATCGCTGGCGTGTTCAAGGCCAGGTTGGATGGGGCTTGGAGCAACTTGGTCCAGTGGAAGGTGTCCCTGTCCGTGGCAGGGGGTTGGAACTGGACGAGTTTTGAGGTCCCTTCCAACCCAAACCATTCTGTGATTCTAGGATTCTATGATACATACACACATATGCACATACACACTCCTAGCAATTCAGTTAGATTGATTTGATTTGCTTTGGCTATTCCACTATTTTACTGCAGTCCTTGTATAGTACTTAAAGAATCAGGTTAATCATTCTGCATTAGATGCACAAACAATGCTTCTTTACCTCCACATGGGTGTTGTGAGACTTTAATTAATGTTTGTAAAGTGCTTTCAGATCCCTAGAAGAAAGGCACTATAGAAGTGTGAAGTCTGATTATTTCACAGCACACAAAAGTAGAGGTGAAAAGAAATACTCTCCTTCTTACACATAAAACTACTGATCTCAACTCCTGCATGTAAAAAAACAAGATGTTAAGAAAGAAAAGAATTCTGACCATGAACCTACTTCAGGCTTCCCCTTTGCCTTTTTCATCTGATTTCTGGTTGAGTGAAATAATAAACTATTGTATTGCTGTAAACTCTTTGTAAGTAGATTTGACTAAGACAACAGAGTTCAGTGCCAGCAGCTACTCTGATCATTCTTTTAAATGGAAATTTACCGTCTGCTGCATCACATGGAAAAAATATAGAACTATTTTTCACAGCTTGTTCACTGAACAGATTATTGGAGGGAAGAAAAAATAAAAAGGCTTCGTTTTCCACAGATCCCAAATCTCAGCGTAGAAAGTCTTGGCAATTTCCTTTTGAGAGGAGACAGATTTCACTTTCACATTGATTTAACAATGAAAAGTGCATCCAAAATGAGGGCCTGATCTTGAACGTTTAAACGGTTAGCCATGGTTGATTCAATAGCTTATCTATGGGAGCAAAATTACTCACATCCATGAGCCTATGTAGGGTCTGGTCCTAATATAGAACCAGTTTTTGATGTCATAAAATCTTTTTTAACAGCATCTTGTGTTACATTTAATTTATTTCACATGGCCTCATAAAATAAGATAAAAGCTTGTAAGTCTAAAAGTCATATAAAGATGATGGAAAAAAAAAAAAGCCCTACCATGTATCCGTGTTTATTAAGTATCATCTTCATGCAGCTTATAAAGTTTTAACTCCAGAATTCCCAGTTTTTTTCTAATCCTAATAGCAGTCAGCAAGAACTGCCAGTGTGTAACATAAACAGATTACAACACACATGCTTGTTGGAGAATGAAGTCCTTCCCAAAGCTCTCTTTGAGGCAGGTCCTCCATTTAGCAGGACAGAGCCTTACAGAGGCACCTCACCAGCTTACCCCTCTCCTGACAGGGCACAGGTGGGCAGTATCCCTGCCCTGGGTGGTACCCAAGCACTGTGGTCTAACCTCCAGGTTTAGCCCAGGAAGCTCCAGGGTGACAGGCACAAAAAAACCCAGCTTGTATTAAACATGGTGTAATGTGAGAGCAGCCTGAAGAGCACACAAGCAACTCTGGTTCACCTGAACTCTAAATACAGAGAAAAGCTCCAAACAGAAAAGTCTGTAGCAGAAAAACGTCTTCAGAGCCAAAGAAGGCCTCACCCTTATTTAAATGGAGGTTAGAAAGAGCCTCTCTTCCACCACTGAAGTGTGGTTCCTGCTTAGGTCCCAGGAGGGGAAGGAAATGACTGCAGCCTCATACCCCAGGATTTAGGGTGAGCTCACCTGCAGCCAGGGGGATGTGGCCAGGAGGTCCTAGGAGGCACGCATGGTAGCTCTGGGGTGTGAGAAGGAAAGCAGGGCCATGGGTGTAGACCCATAGACAAAGGGCTCCTTTTCCAGTCTTTGCGGGATGACATTTCTGGATGATGGGAGGTAAGCAGATTCAGGGATGCAAGTCAGGAGGCAAATCTTAGTCTGCTTTTAGAGCTCCCAAATTTACGCTCCTCTGAGCAACGGGGTGCCCCTCCAAGACTGGCAATGGGGTAACCAAATGACAAATGAAGAAACTTCCTATTCACAGTATGAGCCCTTTACTTGTGAAAAATAATAGAAATCATTATAAAAGTGCCTTCAGCATCTCAGAGCACGTCAGTGACTTCAAAAAGCTACTGGTATGAGTAATTGTTTGGTAACAAGAAAAAAACAAACTCCCAGTGGCCTGGTTCTGATACCCAGAGAAGGGCATCATAACAAGCTAAGGGAATGTTACATAAAAAACACCCCTTCCCCCAAAACAGTTGCCCTTTTTTTCCAGCTAACATTTCCTTAGTTTACCAGTGATAACCATCACCATAAAAAAATGATGAAGTCTTACGTGATGCTGCTGCTTGTAAACTGGTTTCACCACCAGAAGGCCATCACAGACTGGCACTGTTTTAGGAACCAGCAGCAGACCCATCGCCTTTCCTCTAGGAAGCACAAGCCAGAGGCAAACCCAGGGGCAATGTGGTAAGCAAACACTGTGCTTCCAACCTAAACCCTGGAAAAGAAAAGTAACTTTTCATGAAGTAAAAGGATTCCTGAGGACAACTTTCAGTAAAGATAAACTTTAACCACAATCTGACACAACAGTCAATAAATAGCTTGAAGATAATCGCACATACCTCTTTGGTAGGCAGTGGTCTAACCCAGGCAGAGATTCTTTTAGAACATGGCTGTTCTCACCAGCCCTTGATATTTTTCTTGCGATCCAGGCAACATCCACATTGAAAAACCTACGCCACAGCTGTCAGGGCTTCTCTCCAGCAGATAATTGAATTCCAACTCTATTGCCATTGTGACAAGTGAGCTCAAGTTTAGTGATACCATCCCTGCCAACTGAACAAGAGTGAGAGCCATCAGCCACATAGTCATTAATCGCTTTGCTGAAAGAAAAGGTGCCTGCAGGGCTTACCAGCACCCTTCCTGGGTAGGTGTTCAGTCTCCAGGAGATACCTGACAATAACATGAGTACATCTCAAGGGATGATTGCGCTTGGATCAGTGTGCAGGAAGGCCCAGTAAAAGTGGAGCAAGTCAATAAGTTTAAAGGACTTTCAAGATCTCTTCCAAACCAGAGAAAAGCAGGGTTTAGCCTGGGTGGCCGCATGGTAGGCTTTTGCTAAATCCAAAAGATTAAGCCATTGGCATTTTCTCCTATGGATTGCTCTATCAAAGTCCTCTTATAGGTAAAAAGTTTATTTTTTTCCTTTCCATATGCACCTCCCATATTTTTGCAGGTATGTCAATTTTTCTTAGAATATAGCTTTTAAATTGAGCTTATCCACCAACACCACAGACTGCATACTAGCTAGGACCTATTTAATACCGTAATAACTGCTTTTTCATAGCCTTCTTGCTTCATATGTAAATCTGTTATTTCAAGGCTAGTTGATGAACAATTCAATTTGTAGTACAGCTAGAGAAGAATACTGCTTCACTTCTAGCATCCCAGAGAGACTCCCCATTCAATAAAGGGTGACCAGATCTCACGTTGAAGAACCGCATGAGAAGTATCTGTTCCCTTGCTTTGCCCGTTGCTCAAGAGTTTAAAGCTAACTGTGGAGATCACAGTTACAGAGGAATACATCTGTCTCCGACGTGCTGTGCCAGCTGAAGAACAGCTCAGACCCCACACAGCCTCCAGGCTCTCACCCGGTACACAGGAGGAGGTATATCTGGCCTCCGGGGAAGCACTCCAGGAGCCTACTGCTAAGTCGACGGCCAGAAAACACAGCACATTTGAGCAGGAAATTAAGCCTGACTCTCCCATTGCCTCAACAAATGGCTCAACCAGCCTGCTATAAAGTCAGTCTCTTGGAAGTCTCTCCATTCCCTCTTAAAACGTAACACAAGCACACACTTTCGGAATCTAATCCGGTGCCCCGACCCATAGGACGTCAGCATCGACAGCTGGGTGGGGAGGTCTGAGGCTTGACAGCACCTAAATGCGGCATGTAGAGACTTAAAACTGTGGCTAAATAGGTTGGCCCTTCCTAGATCTCATCCGAGTTCCCAAAGGCTGAGTTTATTCATCACCCTGTGTGCTTTGCTTGCAGCATTGGCTTCCCTGCTTGTCAACACGCCGATTTCTGAATTCTCAGTGCAAAGGAAGCCTTTCATGGTTTGGCATCCTCTTATATGTTTATGCTTCTCAAGATATATTCTCTAGCCAAGTCTTTAAGTTCTTACATTAGTCCCCAAGCCCAGACATCAATCTGTTGCTGATCAGGTCTTTTCACATCATGCTGCTTTTATCTGGAATGCTGTTTTTGATGCTTCCAGGGAAGCTCTGGCTGATGCTTTTAAGAATGTGGTTAATTATTTTTCTCCTTTTTCGTTTAAAATGACACTCAAGCACAGCTATTTCTTTTAACCTTCTGCTTTTACTGTAAGACTTGAGCAAGAAATTTGCCTTATTAATGCTATTATACAGGGGAGGTTCTGATTTGCATCTTTGTCCTTGGATAGTGTAGAGGCAGCACAGGGGTCCACACACAGAGATTAATTTTCTGCCCCCCCCCCCTTTATGATCTACAATAAAAAGTTTCTTTAAAGGGGAAGAAAAGAGAGGCACGTGCTTAATACTGAAGCAAAGCCTGCTTGTGCTTGATACCTTGGAGAAACAGTTCAAGAACACTTCATCCTCCTGCAACTGTTTCCCGCACTTCTGCCAAGGTTAGGGAAACCTTGGGTTTGCTGCCGTCTGAATACCGCTGGCTGGTATCACCCTGAGCAAGTTCAGCTGACTGCTTACACTTTTGTCTTTATTCTGTCTCCTGTTGTCTCCCCACTTTGGCAAATAGAAATCACCTTTGTCTTTGGGGGAGGCCACAGCCTGAAAGCACCCAATAAAGAGAATCCCCCAAGAGATGCTGGCTGGAGGGTCAAGGTCCTTACATTGAGCCCTCCAACCCCCTGCTGGGTCAGAAAACACAACAGCACAGTCTGATAAATGACTGAAAAATTAGGCCAACAATAAAGAAAGTAAGAAAGATAGATACACACACACCCATATGTAAAATCCCAGTTTTTCACACCAGTGAAGGCAGAAACAACGAGGCAGAAAGCAAAAGTATCAGGCAAGTGTCACAAACTTTACCTTTTTTCATTTGACTACAAATGAAAAGCACCACTGACCAAAGCAATTCTTGGATGCCAAATGTTTTTGCACACAGCTCCTTTGACATGCAAACCAGAGTGGATGGAGAACAGACGGACGAAGGGAACCCTGCTCTGAACAGCTGTGGGACACTGCTTTCTCCCACAGGACTATGGTCTGGGCTCAATTGTAAGAGCTACAGTCATTGAGACATGGGAAACAGAGAACACAGGGATGCAAAAGAGCTTGAGTGCTTCAGCAGATAAAGGAGAGCATCTCAATCTGTATACTTCCTTGGGGAAACTGAAGACACATTACCATGGCTACCTACCTTGGCAGAGAACCCTTTTCTTTTTTGCCAGATAGTTTGTGGTAGCAGAAGGGACCCCATTGAAGATTTTCTTCTTCTCTCTTCCATGAGGAGATGCTAACCAGCCCACCTCCTCTCACTGGGTCTGCACTCACCAGCCCTTCCAAAATCCACTATGGACCTGGGACTGCAGGGCCTCTGCTCCCTGGGAGCTGCTCTACACTGAAACCCCAGAGATGAGCTACCAAAAACCCCGCCACAGCCTTAGGGGGCTGTCAGGGAAAGGGACTGGGCCCTCCTGCAGTGAGGGAAAGCTTGGAGGTGGGAAACAGCAGGAGAAGGACCAGCGGGAATGGGAGAAGAGCACAGGTTTATTGAGGAGGAGGCATCCAGAGGGAATGGGGTGCACTTCATTGTGGTCAAGCGTATTTTGATACCTCTTTTTTTTCCTTTCTGAGCAGCTGCGGTTAGAAATACCCTAATTGGCAGTAATGCAATTAAAGACTAGTAACTGGCAACTACATGGGCAGCTGGCCAGGATGGTGAGGGGCACAGAGCGCAAGGTGGTACTCCTTGCCCTGCCCACCCCAGGGTGCACCCCGTGCCATGTGCTGGGTGGCTTTGCCTAAACACCCCCTTTTCAGGGACAAAACAGGGAGTGGCAGCCAACAGTTGCAGTAACCCCACAGCCCCGTGCTGGTACTGAAAACAACAGCACTGGGTTCCTCACAGCAGTGCCTAACTCCCCTGCAAACAGTGTTCACAGATCCCATGGCATCCCACAAACACAGCAGGATGGCACAAGGAAGGAGAGCTCCCCTGCCCACCTCCATCAGGTCTCACACTCTACCCTGTGAGCCAAGCAACTTCATTAAACACATACTTGTTTAGGCATTACTTTAACATTCCTAATTTCTAGGTCAATTATTGACTTGAATCATGTTAAAGTTTAACATAAATATGCTACCACATCCCCTATACATGTATTACAATAATTATATGGTTACAAAATTCTTCTAAAATACTAGGAAAACTAGCTGCTACTGGTAAATAAAGGCTCACAGACTGCTCTGAAGCCCATGCAAAGAAATACAAAGATTCCCATTACTTTTGTATCAGCTTCCCAAGGAATAATCAATTTAGATTATTAAACACATGTACAAAATTAAGTACATTACAGTTAAAATCTTTGCTTCCTAAAAAATGTTTTGTCTAATCTTATCAGATAGGAAAAAGCAGGGTAGAAGGCAAGAAGAGAAAGTGAAGGCATCGTATCATACGCAGCTTGTAAAGCTACAAACAACATGACAATAATCTTCTTTCCTTTAAAAAAAAAGAAAAAAGGAAAAAAAAGGACTGACAACTTTTTCACATTTTAGCAAACTTTTCAATTAGGATTTCTTCCTGGCTATTTAAATATGCTTAAAGTAATGATTTTCTGTAATTTGTCTTTTTCTTTTGGAAACATACCGTGCTATTGTCAGCTTTAAAAAAGAAGCAATTTTCTGACTTTTGAGATTGAGCAGGTCATGGAAAAATTACTACTGTGGGAACCTGTAATTAAATAGAAAATGCAGCTGCACTTATAAAAAAAAAAAAGCAACCTAAAATTAAGTTTATTCTATTAATACTTGATTCTAGAATTGTATTTGACTCTTCAGACACAGGTCTTCTCTGAAACTGTACCTTACCCACAGAACATCGCTAGCTGAAGGGCTAGTTGCAAAAGCAGACGTAATATAATATGTACAAATATATTGCCAATAATTTGCTGATCATCTGAATTAGGTTCAATATCATATGATAGTCATGTACACATGTAGACCCTTTCTTTCCTCTTTTTCTTGTACTAGCACTACACCTTTGGGTGTTGCGTTTTTTTTAAGGATCTCAATTGAAATAAATCTACATAAAGTCAGTAACGCTTATTGTAAGATTAACTAGGAAAAAAAGAAGTACAGAAAGGGACTTTCGAACAAAATTATGAGGTATATTTGAACTGAATAAAGATCTCTTCCCAGCATTTAACTTGTCATGAAATGGAGACAAGATTCTACACAATACCATGACACAAAACCATGCTTTCTGTTTATGTA